CCTTGCTGGCGTCTGAGTCGGACTGGAGCTCTCTGCCCTTTACCAATCCAGCCACGGGCCCATCCATCTGGCCCATCAAGACTCACTCTCATTTCATCAGTCCATAAAACCTTAGAAAAATCAGTCTTGAGATATTTCTTGGCCCAGTCTTGACGTTTCAGCTTGTGTGTCTTGTTCAGTGGTGGTCGTCTTTCAGCCTTTCTTACCTTGGCCATGTCTCTGAGTATTGCACACCTTGTGCTTTTGGGCACTCCAGTGATGTTGCAGCTCTGAAATATGGCCAAACTGGTGGCAAGTGGCATCGTGGCAGCTGCACGCTTGACTTTTCTCAGTTCATGGGCAGTTATTTTGCGCCTTGGTTTTTCCACACGCTTCTTGCGACCCTGTTGACTATTTTGAATGAAACGCTTGATTGTTCGATGATCACGCTTCAGAAGCTTTGCAATTTTAAGAGTGCTGCATCCCTCTGCAAGATATCTCACTATTTTTGACTTTTCTGAGCCTGTCAAGTCCTTCTTTTGACCCATTTTGCCAAAGGAAAGGAAGTTGCCTAATAATTATGCACACCTGATATAGGGTGTTGATGTCATTAGACCACACCCCTTCTCATTACAGAGATGCACATCACCTAATATGCTTAATTGGTAGTAGGCTTTCGAGCCTATACAGCTTGGAGTAAGACAATATGCATAAAGAGGATGATGTGGTCAAAATACTCATTTGCCTAATAATTCTGCACTCCCTGTATGTGAGAAACAAAACAGTGAGCATATTTTTGCCATTAAAACAGAAGCTAAGGTTATCATCAAGAACAGATTTCTTTAAGCTTAATAGACAACTTTTTTATTCTGCACTTTTCTAAATAAACCTACGTTTCTATGAAAACTGAAGTTTTTGTTTTTTTCAGCACACAAACTCAAACCTTGTTGATTTTGCCTGTGTTAGCCTTTGAGATTGACATGCTTCCCCTAAGAGGTTAGATATTGCAGAGTTAAGATAAAATAACAGAATACTGCAAACTGTGTGTAAGTAATTATCCCAAAAGAACGAAAAAAAATAATTGACTAGTGAATAAAAGCATCATTTGTTTAATTAGGCTTTTGGCAAGGAAAAAGAAACAATTCATCAGGAATCTTAACAATACTCACTGCTTTTTGCTAAGATAATGGACTAAATAAGTACATCTAAAAAAGTAAAAACATAGTTTCGTTAAATTAAATTTTAAGTCAGTCCAGGTCTATTTATAAAGTAGCATTGGCAATTGCCTGAATATAACAATGTTAAATCTATCAATTCAAATGCTCTGCTATAGTAGCGAGCTTAGCTTTGGTGACAAATGACTCGGAAAAGTCCAACAAAAATAGTTTCACTTAAAACATATCTCCAGCTTGCGTGACACAGATTGTTTTTCCTCTGCTACTTTGGCCTAACTCCTAAACCCCTTTGACTAAGGAGTCAAAAAGTATTTCATATCTAATATTAACTTTATTGGCTCTATTCCAGACGATGATATCCCACACAATCCATCCCATTCCCTTTTTCCCAGCTTTATATTCCAAAAAATGCCTACTGTTATATTGTTAGAACATTCTTATTTTTCTCCCTATGTTCAGTTTATAATTATTATTGTAATTATTTTTCCTTTCATCTGTTTTGTTATCCACTTGGCAATTCCATAACACATATACTTTGATAATTGGATATTTGCATAAGAAGCTGATTCTTGAATATCTATTTGTAAAGGGTCAAGGTATATGTATATTTTGGTAGAGATTATTACCATTCCTTAGAGAACCGCCATTGTAGGCAGGACTATGGTCCTGCAGGTTATAGAGGACTACATCAGTACACATCAACGACATCTTTCCCATCAATGAAGAGAATCTCACATGTTTATTAAGTAATTCCAATATATTTTAAATAGTATTGCTGTTTTGGTGAAACTGATGAAGACATTAATACAGACAAAGCTATGCAGAATGATGGCAATCTGGGAAGCTTCAAAGTTTTTGGAAAGGAATACATGCATTGATCAAAAAAATTGATCCATCTATTATTACATTATTTAAAAAAAAAAACCTACCTTAAACAATAAATAAGATAGAATTATGATAGTCTACATCCTTATACAAGCAACGTCAGTTATACAATGTTATTGAAAATCCTTGACTATTCCATCAATGAAAGAAGTATTGTATTTAACACTTGACAATAAACAATATTATCTGGCGCTGAGGCAAACTGTCTTCCCAGAATGCCAAGTTAAGGTACCATTGGGACAACTGGGAAAATGATGTGAAGAAAAAATATCTCCTATAATTTAATTTCACATACACTGAAATATTTGAGAAAGCTTTGTTGATTGTCATGTTACTGTTACATTGCACTCTGTATTTTATTACATTTATGTTCAAAATGTGATAATTTACATTTGTATACTTCCTTAATTTTAATTGTTATATTTTTGTTTACATTTTTCTGAAAAATGTTAAATAAAAATTATTTGAAAATAATAAGTTATGAAAACCTTGTTTTCAATTACCTAAACAGATAACATTTTGTCAATGTCACTATTGAAATATAATTGGGAGATGTATTTTAGATTGTTTGGGGTCTTTCAGTAATAAACCATACCTCCCAACTGTTTCTATTTAAGAAGGACAGTCCCTATTTTGGGCCAAAATCCTTCTGTCCCTCTTTTCTATCCTAATGTTTCTCTTTTCTTGGTGTGTCTTAGTGTATAACAGGGCTCCACAGCAACAATACCCCCAGTAATGTAGGTTTAAACTACAATAAATGTGTTTAGAAATCATTCTGTGTGGGGGGCGGGGTCTGACAATAATGTCGACTGGATGGGAATCCTGTGAGCTCCTAGTGAAACACAACAAAAGTCTATTTTCAAGCTGTTCCACTCAAACTTGCACTGAGTCCAATATACCTTTTGATCTATTTACTGACTGACCGTTTTGGTAGCGTATTCTGCGGTCATCTACATCCTTCCAGACACTGACATTGAGTGAGGCCTACCAGGCGCTGAGACGGGTTGAGGAGGCCGCTCTCCCAGACCTGCGCAGGCAGGGCTCCGAGGATGGTCCTGATGCCCCACTACCACCTCCCCCCCTTTGGACCGGCGGGGGTGATCCCAGTCCCCATCTTGATGGCTCCCAAGATTCTAAGAGCTGTGACAGTGCCGCAAACCCCAGCAAGGACGCCGGAGGTACACTTAAGATGGCGGGCGCCACGAGTACCCCAGCGTCAGGAAGAGAGGCAAGCACTATTCTCCAACGATTAGATGCTCTCTTTGACACGTTCTGGAGAAAGTTGGAGAGCAGCCTCACCTTACCTGAGGCAGAGGTGGTCCTTTCCACACAGTACCCAAACCACATCCCGAAAGGTAAGGCAGTTCCCACCAGGGGCCCGAGTCGGCCCCTGGTGGGAACTGGCGCACAAAGAATAAGGCAATTCACCGGCAGGCACTGAAGCTGTGTCCCTCCATGCCCATCATGACAGAGAAGTGGGAGAGGAAGAAGTGAAGCACCTGCAGCCACAGAACCCATGAATGCCACCTTCAGCATCGAGCCTGCAAATTCAAGATATGTAGGACTGTGAAATACCTGTTAAAGGGATAGGCTGAAAGCATTATATCTTAGTGCAGGAGGTGTATGATGTTGATCCAGCTCCCCTTAGCTACTAACCTCCATGATCTTGTTGCTGTACAGGTTCCTCTCCTTAATAATTTACTGCCTTTTTGAGACAGTCTGTTAATGCATAGTATGCCTGTGTTCCTTTTTATTATTTCTCTATCTATGTACTAATACTATGTCTAGCCTGGTATGCCAAAGATAGAATAGCCTAATACATGTCTATAATTTCTTTTCAGTAAGACTATTCTGCATTTGCCTATCATTTAGACATGATTGTTTACACTGCTTATTACGGAAAAAAAAAGTTTGACAGCTATCTTTGCGACACCAATCATATGCAGGGGATGCAATGTACTGTCGTCAGAAGTGTATACTGTTTACCTGAATAGCTATGTACAATATTATGCTCTGCATGTACAATCCTACTGTCTTCTCGAAAAAATCAGTCTGTGTAAATAAAATGCATTGTTCTTGTTCTAAATTACAATGTAGTTGTATAAATTGTTATTAGTAAGTCATCTAAAAGTTTGGAGAACAGTGCCACCCCAGCCACAACCCAACTAACACCCCAAAAATTGAAATGTCCCACTTTGTCTGTTTCAAATATTGTGAGGTGTGCTGAATTGAAATCCATTGGTCCACTTAATGCACTATTGACTCTTGTGGAATACACAGTGGGTAAGCAAAAACACATTTTCTGTGCAACACAACTTGGTAACCATTGCAGAAAGACAGTGATAGAAATCACAATTTGCTTCACGAATCCATTGGATTTTAAAAAAGCATTTCCTGCACCTTTAATGAACTATTTCTCAATCTTGAGATTACTTTAAAATAAAGGGAGAGTTTACGGTGTATGAACGAAAATAAAAGTAATAGCTCATGAGATACCATCATTTTTCATAAATTTTAATAACAGTCACAGTGCACATTTTAACAATGATTAATAGTAAAACATATGATAAATGATTGTCTACAATGAACATCTAGAACTATTATTATAAGAATAAACAATGAAAATGCAATTTTAACTGTACAGGGTAATTTGAAAGAACTAAGGATCAGTTAATCCTTTTCACCCCCGCTTAAGATCAATAATATGTAAACTTAATAAAAGCGATTTAATAAAAATAAAAAATGCCACATTCAAAATAATCTATGTTGCAAAATAAAAAATAAAAAAGTTTGATTTTGGTCAATTTATTTAAGGTTTTTGTTTTGTTTTAATTTTTTTAATTTTTTTGTTCTTTTCTATCAGAGATCGAATTTTTAACCCACATTTTAACATTTCTTTTGGACACATTTTAAAATTATTATCAAACTGTTTCAAGAAACTTAATTTAAAAAACAAAAATCGTGCTACTCTGACAACGTCTAAATTACCTGTTATAGCAAGCAGTCTCATTCTTTAAAGGAACACTTCAGGCACCATAACAACTCCAAGACAGCCTCTGGAAATTGCATGATCATGTCAAGATATCATAAAGTGTGCAAATCCAGAAAGACAATGAGGTATTTCATCAAAGGGCAAACCCTTATCATCAACCTTGTAGGCTAGATACCTAAAATGTCCAAATGTATGGGAACTTAAAATGTCCTGGTCTGCCTATTATTGGGGGCTAGGAATTTCCTGGTCTGTCCAAAGTTGTATTTCCCTTAATAACACTGATGAGGGCCTTAAGGTATTGAGTTTTTCAATTACCCTTCAGTCCCTGCCCACATTTTCATGGAGAGGAGAGGCCAATTATCTGGTGTCCTTTGTTAATCCAAGTTTTTCAAATCCTATTTTTCTTTTTGCTTTTCTTATTAATTTACTTATTTATTTATATTTATTGGCTCCCTTTTTTAAAATGATGTGGTCTCACCGACCCCATCATGTTAAAAATGTTAACAGCCATTTTTTTTTTCTGTGGGCCGCTACAAAATGTCACCGATGCTAGTTTTTATTTTCTGAACTAATGCAAACTCAGCCCTCTGAACTAATGCAAACTATGTACCCTGAAAGAGCTGAGCTATGCTTGTAGCCTGCTAACTGTGCTAGTATGTAGCACAGAGTTTTATTGACGTCCAAGCCTAGCTCAGACGCCAGAAAATGCAAATACAGCCATTAAAGATGAAAATGCGCCCACCAAAGAGTGATGGGATTTTGAGATAATATTTATGGTTTTATCTGCTTTTGTATTACACAAACGTATTACAGTCTAGCTGCCTAATCTCCATATATTTCATATTTAGGGTAATATGTTTGTTAGATCTCACTTGAGGTGTTTTAATATTCACCTAAGAGGTTTGCATTGATGTTGGCAGGTGAGCTTACACTTTGATGGTGATTACAGTAGTACTGAAAGCCTCTGTCATTTACAGATCTACTTTGGAGATTGTGATGAAGCACAGGTAACTATTGTTTGGTTTAAATCTTTCGCTCTCTTAAAAAGACTTTGCTACACAAATGTTTCGAACAGCAGTGTCTTTTTAACTTTAGAAAAGAAATTCTATTTCCACTGTTTATAAATAAACTAGTTCTATCAAACTTTGGTAAAGTGACTCGCAAGTGTTAATTAATGTTCGATTAATATTTGGGTCAATAAGCATTCTCTGCAGCAAAATCTAAGTTACTGTATTGTGGCAATGAGCTGGAATAATATCATGCACTTGCTTCTCAAGTTCCTTCCAAACTATCAAAATACAAATCACTGGAAAGACTCATTGTAGCCGACAAATGTACTGAAGAGTCCTTTACTTGATTACTGGAAGCAGGCACGCTTAAAAATGATGTGATTCACTTCAAAACCTGTTTAAAAACATAGAAAATATACATTTCATCACCATGGAAACAGAATCAGGCTACATTCAAGGTACTCAAACTGTCAGGGATGGCCAAAAGGTCGATCTCTAGCTGCTACAGAACTACAATGCACATGATTCTTTTATGCCTTGTGGTAGCTGTGGTTTTGAAACCTCTGGAAAACTATTTTTTGCCCACCATCTGATCAATAGTTTTGTTGGTGTCTCCTGGAATCACAAATTGAAATGCTCAGATTATTTATTTACTATACTTGTGTGTAATCCATGCAGCCGGTTTATTAATTTATTTTTTCACCCGTCTGAGAATTTTCTAGGAAATAACACCCCATTTTTTGTCGTTTCTGTAGAATTAGAGGATATATTTTTTGTTTCCTTTTTTTGCAATATGTTATTGCATACATAGCATCTCTGTGAAGGTCAGTGCTTCCCAAATCAGTGCTCAAGGCACCCCTACCAGTTCAGGATCTAGGAATTACCCAGCTGTATCTAAAATAAAGAAACACAATTGGGTAATCCCTAAATCCTGACCTGGTATGGGTGCCTTGAGGACTGGTTTGGGAACCACTGTTCAAGACGAAACAATGAACCCATTTTAATAAATTGATGGCCATTTCTGGTTGCTAATAACACATAACCCTAAAATAATCAGTTATTCACTAAAGGGAGATGTGTTGGGAATTTAAAGTAAATTGAAAATTTAAGGCCAAGGTAGAAAAACAGAGAGCACACCTAACTTAGAGAAATTTTACAGTTCAGCCGGACATAATCTGGTGTTTATTGAATAACCCCGACAGTGCTAGCAGTATAATTTGAGGTGACTTGAGGTACAGCTAGGTGCCATGGCACAAGATTTAAAAACCACTGATCTATATAATAAATGTAGCGGGATCGGTATCTCACAGTTGTATTAACATAACTGAGCTTAAGGAAAAAACAGGAAACCTTTGGCATATAGAGGGTGAATGTGTCAGGTTTGTGGATATTGAATTACTTCTCTTTGTGAAAAAGTTCTCATCTGATGCAATTGAAGAAAACAATAATAATAATTGGGTCGACTGAGCTTTATCTGATGACAACCTGCAGGGCATAGACTTAATGTTCATATTCTTCAATTTATGAAACATTTCCTATAGCAGTAATGATGTTATTCTGTTTTGCTACATTAAAAAAAAGACTTTGAAGGTGCAGTGTAGACATAAAGAACATTTTCATCATTTCACACTGTAAACAGAAGAATTGCATCCATACTTCCTGTAATTGTGTTTGACATATAAAATGAGGTGAAAAGCAATGTTTTGTAGCTCACGTTTTGTAGCTCATATTTATTGAGTGAAGAACTTTGCTGTGAAGGTTTTGAGTGACATTGGTTTAAAGCCCCTTATAATTAATTCTACAAGATTTTATATTATGCCTCTGGGTGTGAATGAGAATCTGTGAGGTCAGGCACTGATATTAGACAACCCTTATTCCTATTCAACCCAAATATATTCAATGGAGTTGAAGTTAGGAATTTGTGTAGGCCTCTCGAATTTCTTTCACCAACCTCGTTAAACCATGTCTACATTGAACTCACTCTTTGAATATGGGTACAGTCATTCTGTAACAGGATAGGGCCTTCCTCAAAGTGGGTTTCTAAAAACATCCAATTGTTTAAAATGCCTTTGTGTAATGTTGTATCAAGATGACCCTTCACTGTGCTAAGGTCAAGCCCAAACCCTGAAATTAAGTCGCAGGACATTATCCTTTCTCCATCAAACTTTACAGTAGGCAGTATGCATGCTGGTAGATAGAGTTCTACTGACATCCACAGCACCCAGATTCTTCCGACAGACTGCCATCACTCGAGAGAGCATATTTCCACTATTCCAGAGTCCAGTCCTTGTGCGCTTTATATCAGTTGACGCTTGACATTGATCATTTTAATTTAACGTTTCTGTACAGCTGCTCAGTCATGAAACCCATTTAATAAAGCTCTCTAAAATTGCTTCCGGGGGACAATTCAAAACTTTGTAGTCAGTGATGCAACAGATGATAATTTAACAGATGGTATCTATGCACTTCGCACTTCAGCACTTGGTACCTCCCTTTGTGGTTGCTTCCTAACAGTTCCATTCCACAATTTTACCACTTACATTGATTTCAAATTCTTGACGTGTTTATTTTAAGAACAAGCTACATGTTGCGGCTTTATTTTTGGCAGTGTTCTATTTCAATATGTAGTCACCGTTGGCTTTTAGAATATTAGAACTTTAGAAACTATGTATCTTATGGCTGGACCTGTCATATGCAATGCTTTTGCATCCTCATTGTGTCTGCTTGGAAAAATCGGAGTTTGACAAAACATTTTGTTTTGGACAGCAACAATTATCCTAAACCCTATAGATGAGCTTCTCTGTAGGCTAAATTGCTAGATTTCCATGGTAATAAACCCTAAACACATTATTGCAAACCTACTGCAAAAAATACTGTTGCTATAAATTATTAACAGCATTAGATTGTTGTATTCTACATCTGTGGAGGCAATTGCCTTCTTCTTCTGTTTTGGGCTGTTGTTACTCAGCTCTGGAACGAAAACAATAATGTATAGTATTAATTTCAACATGACAAATAGCATCAGATAGAAATCAGGCATAGTTATATCAGACCATTCAGAAATTACATGTTTATTTATTACATACAAGTCAACGTTTGATTCATCTCATGCCTTTGTGATGTTAATTTGCATGCATTAGTAAAGATGGAAGGTTTAAAGGGACACTATGGCACCCAGACCACTTCAGCTTATTGAAGTGGTCTGGGTGCAGTGTTCCAGATCCCTTACATCTGCAAAAGGAATTATTAAAGTTTTTAAGAAACTGCAATAATTACCTTCAGAATTAAATCCACCTCGAGTGGTTGTCTACTACTATACAAAGCATTGTATAATTCTTTCCTATGGGGAGATTTTAATGCGAGCGCAGCCATTGCCTTATACAATATAAAAACTATTTATTATATTAACAATTTGTTAACAAATAAGGGGCCTTCAGTCCAGTGATGAGGAGATCTTTTCAGATTTATTATCCATGGATTTTTTGTTGCCATAATTCTTCTCTCAGCAGAGTACAAAACAGAAGAATGAGATTATTGTGCAGGATAGATTTACATATTGGTTGAAAATTGTTCTCTAAATTCGGCATTATTCAGTAATAAGAATCAAAACAGAGCTTCTTGTGCAGATCATAGAACATCTGCATTTATTAATGTGCTTAATACAGCCATTTGCAATATACAGCTTTGTGCTCTTATTCCCGAACAGCTATATTGGCATGCTGACCGATAATACTAATCATTGCATGCATCTATCCCTGCCTATGGAGCTGATATTGATTACAATACATGCAAACCAATTATCAAAACAAAAAGAATATATGTTAATATAAAACCTATTCTTAAACGGTACATGTCATGGTAGATACTACGTACGCTTTTTTTTTTTTTTTTAAAGAGCATAACATTCTATCTCAACATTGCATTAGCAGGTTCACTAGCAAATGTATAGATTTGGAGAAAAAACATTTCTTAGAAGTGGTCTTGGTGCAGTGTCCCTGTCCACTTTACCCTGCAATTGTAATTATTGCAGTAATTGATAAACAGCAATAATTACCTTGCAGGGTTAACTCTGTGTACTTTTGGTCTGCTATATGACACTAGACATCCCCACACTTTGCATGAGGACATGCATCACCTTAAAACCGATTAAAAACTGATTCAATGCTTTCCTATAGGGAAGTCCTAATGCGATTTCAGCGATCCCCATACGCATTATGTCATAGTTACATAGTTACATACATAGTTACATAGCTGAAAAGAGACTTGCGCCCATCAAGTTCAGCCTTCCTCACATTTGTTTTTTGCTGTTGATCCAAAAGAAGGCAAAAAAAAACAGTTTGAAGCACAATTTTGCAACAAGCTAGGAAAAAAATTCCTTCTTGACCCCAGAATGGCAGTCAGATTTATCCTTGGAGCAAGCAGTTATTACCCTACATTGAAAGATTATATCCTTGAATATTCTGTTTTTGCAAGTATGCATCTAGTAGCTGTTTGAACATCTGTATAGACTCTGATAAAACAACTTCTTCAGGCAGAGAATTCCACATCCCGATTGTTCTTACATGATTTGGTATCCCGGCTGCCCCCTGCCTGTGAACACCGGAAGCACTCTAAGGGGAACAGGAAGAAGCCTGTGCTCACAGTGCACGGCTCTCTTGCTTCCCCCTACCATAAACAGAGTAGCTACCTGCAGGTCGGACTTCTTCTCCTCTTCACAGCACCCAGGTATGGCAGGCTAAGGGGGATGGTTTATTGTGTGCATGATTGTAAATTGGTTTGTGATTGTGTGTGTTTTAAATTGCTGTATTTGTGTTAATAATGTGTGACTTTATGTAAAGTGATGTGAGTTTGTGTTTGAGTCACAGTGTGTGTGTGTTAGTCAAATTGTATAAGTGACACTGTGTTAATGAGAATGTGTAAGTGACTCTTGTTTGTGTGTGTGCGTGTGTTTTAGTGAAAGTGTGCAAGTTAAAGTGTGTGTTAGTGAGAATGTGTAAGTTACTCTCGGTGTGTGTGTGTGTGTTAGTGAGAGTGTTCAAGTGACACTGTGTTAGTGAGAATGTGTAAGTGACTCTTGTTTGTTTGTGTGTGTGTGTGTGTGTGTTTTAGTGAAAGTGTGCAAGTGTGTGTTAGTGAGAATGTGTAAGTAACTCTTGGTGTGTGTGTGTGTGTGTGTGTTAGTGACAGTGTGTAAGTGACACTGTGTTAGTGAGAATGTATAGGGGACTGTGTGTGTGTGTGTGTGTGTTAGTGAGAGTGTGCAAGTGACACTGTAAGTGACTCTGTGTGTGTGTATGTTAATGAGAGTGTAACTGACAATGTATATGCCAGTGAGAGTGTATGTATGTTAGTGAGAGTGCAAGTGACACTGTGTAAGTGACTCTGTGTGTGTGTTAGCGAGAGCGTGTAAGTGACAATGTGTATGTCGGTGAGAGTGCATATATGTTAGTGAGAGTGTGTAACTGACAATGTGTATGTCAGTGAGTGTGTGTGTTAGTGAGAGTGTTTCTTTCCCTAAATGTGTGCTCACTATGTTTCTCTCCTAAAATGTTTCCCAGTCTGTTTCCTAAATATCTCAACAGTCTCTATCTTTTCCCTAAATGTCTCCCCAGACTGTTTCTGTTCTTTCTCACTGTGTGTCTGCTTTCACCTAAAGGGACACTATAGGCACCCAGACTACTTCAGCTGATTGAAGTGATCTGGATGCATTATCCCAGTGCCCTTACACTGCAAAGGTAATTATTTCAGTTATTAACAAACTGCAATAAATACCGTTCAGGGTTTACTCCACCTCTAGTGTCTACTCATGGGGACGTCCAGCGTCACGTAAAACCCCAAAGGAAAGCATTGTATAATGTTTTCCAATGGGGAAACCCTAATGCGAATGTGGCCATTGTGGAGTGACGGCGGACCTGAGCCAGTGCCGAGGGACATCAGTGCTGGACCCAGCACGGATTTTTTTTTTTTAGAAATCCTCAAATTAAAAATAATGAGAATTTTGATCAAATAAAAACAAAAAAAACGTAGATAACTTTTAGTTAGTTTTGAGTTGTACAAAAAGGTGACACACTTTTATGTATTCAGAAAAAAAAGAGGGGAAGACGGTCTTGCTCAAACAATCTTACAAATTAAGGGGGAGTGGGGTATACAAACACAGTGGAAGAATGAGCTGGGAGAGGAACGGGCAAGCTCTTTATTTGGCCATTTAACTAAAATCTGTTTTATTGCAGTAAGACCCAACAACAATATGCAAAGTGTTGTACAGAACTTGGAAAATAAAATGTGTTCGTTTCTAAATACTTTATTAGGTTTTATTAATATTAAATTAGGCTTTATATATAATATATATATATATTTTATATGAAATGAAAGCCCTATTTCTCATGAACAAAAACGATACATAATAAGTGTGTTTGCACTTAAAGGGACACTGTATGCATCCAAACCACTTCAGTTCATTGAATTGGTCTGTGTGCAGTGTCCCAGTCCCCTAAACCTTGCAAAGGTAATTGTTGCAGTTTTTAAGAAACTCCAATAATTACTTTACAGAGTTAACTCCACCTCTAGTGGCTGTCTACCAGACTTTTGGGCACCTGACGTGAATGTCCTCACGCTAGACATGATGACTACCAGCGTCACCGGAATCTCCATAGGAAAGCATTATATAACCGCTGGACCCAGGTAAATAACAGAAGGGGTTTATAACCCCTTCTGCACCAAGGGGGGGGTCTTCGACAGAGGGGGAAGCTCTAGTGTCAGGAAAACAGTTTGTTTTCCTGGCACTATAGTTTCCCTTTAATACGAAAGGCGTGAACTATGGTAGAACAGATATATAGTTTAAATTCTAGATTTTGTCCTTAAGGGGTTAATGATTGAAATTTGTATTGTAAATTTGTTCAATACAAGATCTACAGTGAGCAGATGATCCTAATAAAATATGATACAATAAGAAAATGCCCTTGCATAGTGATCTGCAGTTAGTAAAGGGTTAACTAGCTGCTTGTGTCTTCATACCCACATCCTGGGACTCCTCTCCCCCTCTCCTGCATTGCACCTTGCTACACAAACACACGTTCGACATTCCATATTAGGTGAGCATAGGAACAACAACAAGGATCTGGGTAAACCCAAAGCATCATGGATCTTGTAGTACACAGCACTTCCTCTGACAGTCTCTTCCTGAAACACTGTGACTGACTAGCTAAAGATCACCATTTCCTTCCGAGGTATATTTATTCAGATTTAAATTACAATCCAAGCGTTAAAGTATGATCTGCTAGTTAATTCCTGCATGTGAACGTTAGATCAGCTCAGCTGTATTAATACAGGATTTGTTAGGAGTCACATGGTCAGACATGTGTCACATTGTATTTCATTTCCTGGTAGGAGCTGTGTAAATGTGTCTCTTTATATGAGCAGTTTATGCCTGTGTATGCTTCAAGTTACCTCATTTGATTTATTTCACTGACAGCTGCCTGTGTAAATACATTGTATCAAAGCTGATACCACCAAATATTCTCTGAGCAGAAGCCTCCATTAACCAAATGGAATCATAACCTTATGCCATAGAACTCTGCAGTGAACAAGGTAAGTGATCTTAGTTTAAATGTGAAAAATGTAGAAATACTCTAATGGTCTATAAATATTAGCAATGAAGTTTAAACAATGAAAGTAAACTCCACTCTGATTATACACCTTGCTGACTTGTTCTGTTTTGCTATCAATTTCTGCTGTTTTAGGACTACAAATCTAATGATGCTTTGCCAGTCTTTCTGCTGACAGAGCATCATGGGGGATGTAGTTCTACCACCCTACATTAATTTGCATTGCATCTACAGAAAAGGCTGTTTTGGTGCCAGTGTTTGTGCTTACACTTTGGGATGTGAATAGTGATGATATTTTGACAACTAGAATTTGAATATAATTGCAGAGTCTGGGAAATAGGTGATTAAGGAAATATATGAAACCAGACATTTTTGAGTGTTTTAACGTCTTTGCAAATTATCTCGGTTTACCACTATTAACTGTTCAGAAAGCATACATGTGTTGTTTTCTTTTTGTGAAACAAACCTAACCAGGTACATCTATTTCACTTTTAAAAAAAAAATTATACATTTCCACAAGTTTAATCACAAGGAGAAAATAAAACCAAGATACCAGTTCTACTGTAAGGCTGTAGCCATTAGAGGGCACTTCCTGGATCATAGCACAGGAAACCTGTGCTAGAGTGTCGCTGGACGTCCTCACGCTGTGTGAGGACCTCCAGCGTCGCTCAATTCCCCATAGGAAAGCACTGAAAAGCATCAGTCTCACCCACCGGATGACGTAATCACTGGGAGGAGCGGCGGCGACCCGAAACCACCGCCGAGGGACATCGGCGGGGTCTCAGGTAAGTGACATAAGGAGTTTTCACCCCCTCAGCTACCGGGGGATGGGTGGTGGGAGGGAGAGGGGACCTCTGTTTTCCTGGCACTGGAGAGTCCCTTTAAGTATATCTAAACTGTTGTCTTTTAAACACCAACTAGTTTGAGTATTTTTTATTTATTTTTTAATTTAAACTTGGTTTCCTTGTGTTAAAGTACAGTTTTTGTACTGTTTAACGCTTTAATGAGGGTCCTAAAGGTTCTGGCAACCTGGTCTCTACTGGAGGTCTTAGCCACACTAACACATACCAGCAGTCGGTGACTGTGATTGGCTGCTTGGAAATTTCAGATGGCCCGTGACCACCATTACAAAACAATTAGATGGTGAACTGTAAGACAATAATGGAGAACGTCAGTCAGCCTCAAAGCTGAGCAATATGAGAATTTATCCAACTCTGTGAATTTTTTTATTTTATTTTTATAAAAATATATATTTTATTTCATTACATTTCACTGTTTATCGAATAAACCTCTCTATACAAACTCCAGAACTAGGCTTTTAAATTTAATGATTGTGACTTGGATCACACACACACACACTTCCATATTTACTCTAATTCTTTTGTGACAAATGACCGTTCTATTGCCAGTGATTAGCTGTGAAAGGGTTAAACAAGAAATGTCACAATTTGTCTGGTGGCTGTCCTCTTATCTTACTTCCTTAAACTCTGTTAAAGTATTCAGGGGCCTGATATACACAGTGGAAGTAAAGTATAAATGTTCCCCTGCACTACCATATTTTATAATGACTTGGCCATATTGGTCCCATGATGCAATGAGCTTGCTAGAATTATGGGCCTTTACCTTGTTCGAGCCAGAGCAGCCTGGATTTCTTTTTTTTATAAAGTGTTTCATAGCCAACTGAAATGTTTAACTCCTGTGTGACCGACTTGGTTACATCGTTCGAATGTATCTACTTCCTGGTAACGAAGCATCTAATCCTTTAACATAGAGGGTGTCATACCAAATGTGTTCCGTGCTGTTATCAAAGCTTGTAGTAATGTATTGGTAAAGGGATTTGTTTGTCTATGTTTTAAGAACAAGAATTGTATGTTTTATGAAAACAGTGTCTTTGTTTAGGAAACACATGTCACTAATTTATGTAAGAGTTGACTGAGCAAAAAAAAAAAGAATCCTTATATTTTGTTTAAAAGGACACTAAACCTTTTTTTGGTTTTTTTTCATTGTTTTTGGTTTTATAAGCACTCAATGCACTATAACTGTATTTTTGTCCAACTGTTTGATGAACAGAACAGGTTTTACCTGGCAAACAAAGATCCTCCCTTCCTTGCACATAATAAAACTAAATTTATACTTCTGGATGATTTTATAACAGCTCTGTCGAACATGGCAGATAATGGTAGGTTGAGAGTGCTGGGAACTAATCCACCTAGAAAGATTAAGGTAAACAATATACAGAATGAAAGGAACACTCAAAGCACCATAACCACTACACTGTAGTGGTAACGGTGCCAGAAGTGTCCTTTTATTAACAGTTTGACCTCTTACCTGGGATCTGCCAGAGAGCCAGCATTAGTCACTAAGCAGGAACTTCCATCAGCTATCCTGAGTTAAGCGTTTAAAGGGACTCTATATGCAGTTTTTCCCCACCATAACCTATTTGGATTTTGCTTCCCAAGCACTACCAAGCCTCAATAAGCAAATCAGTAACCAACCTCATGCTTATGAGTTGCATTAACAACGAAACAGCTGTCCATGAGTGGTTTTATGGCTTGGCTGGTGTGCAGATTTTTGTTTAACATTGTACTAACTATCCACAGACTTCAGGTGGAAGGGGTTTTCAATCACAATTTTTCCCCACCATAACCTATTTGGGTTTTGATATATATACAGGGAGTGCAGAATTATTAGGCAAATGAGTATTTTGACCACATCATCCTCTTTATGCATGTTGTCTTACTCCAAGCTGTATAGGCTCGAAAGCCTACTACCAATTAAGCATATTAGGTGATGTGCATCTCTGTAATGAGAAGGGGTGTGGTCTAATGACATCAACACCCTATATCAGGTGTGCATAATTATTAGGCAACTTCCTTTCCTTTGGCAAAATGGGTCAAAAGAAGGACTTGACAGGCTCAGAAAAGTCAAAAATAGTGAGATATCTTGCAGAGGGATGCAGCACTCTTAAAATTGCAAAGCTTCTGAAGCGTGATCATCGAACAATCAAGCGTTTCATTCAAAATAGTCAACAGGGTCGCAAGAAGCGTGTGGAAAAACCAAGGCGCAAAATAACTGCCCATGAACTGAGAAAAGTCAAGCGTGCAGCTGCCACGATGCCACTTGCCACCAGTTTGGCCATATTTCAGAGCTGCAACATCACTGGAGTGCCCAAAAGCACAAGGTGTGCAATACTCAGAGACATGGCCAAGGTAAGAAAGGCTGAAAGACGACCACCACTGAACAAGACACACAAGCTGAAACGTCAAGACTGGGCCAAGAAATATCTCAAGACTGATTTTTCTAAGGTTTTATGGACTGATGACATGAGAGTGAGTCTTGATGGGCCAGATGGATGGGCCCGTGGCTGGATTGGTAAAGGGCAGAGAGCTCCAGTCCGACTCAGACGCCAGCAAGGTGGAGGTGGAGTACTGGTTTGGGCTGGTATCATCAAAGATGAGCTTGTGGGGCCTTTTCGGGTTGAGGATGGAGTCAAGCTCAACTCCCAGTCCTACTGCCAGTTCCTGGAAGACACCTTCTTCAAGCAGTGGTACAGGAAGAAGTCTGCATCCTTCAAGAAAAACATGATTTTCATGCAGGACAATGCTCCATCACACGCGTCCAAGTACTCCACAGCGTGGCTGGCAAGAAAGGGTATAAAAGAAGAAAATCTAATGACATGGCCTCCTTGTTCACCTGATCTGAACCCCATTGAGAACCTGTGGTCCATCATCAAATGTGAGATTTACAAGGAGGGAAAACAGTACACCTCTCTGAACAGTGTCTGGGAGGCTGTGGTTGCTGCTGCACGCAATGTTGATGGTGAACAGATCAAAACACTGACAGAATCCATGGATGGCAGGCTTTTGAGTGTCCTTGCAAAGAAAGGTGGCTATATTGGTCACTGATTTGTTTTTGTTTTGTTTTTGAATGTCAGAAATGTATATTTGTGAATGTTGAGATGTTATATTGGTTTCACTGGTAATAATAAATAATTGAAATGGGTATATATTTGTTTTTTGTTAAGTTGCCTAATAATTATGCACAGTAATAGTCACCTGCACACACATATATCCCCCTAACATAGCTAAAACTAAAAACAAACTAAAAACTACTTCCAAAAAAATTCAGCTTTGATATTAATGAGTTTTTTGGGTTCATTGAGAACATGGTTGTTGTTCAATAATAAAATTAATCCTCAAAAATACAACTTGCCTAATAATTCTGCACTCCCTGTATATATATATATAACGAGTGCACTCTGGGGTCTGTAGAAAATATAGATGCTTTTATTCAGCACAAATCATACATTGTCATTTCAGTCCAACCGGACTTTTCTTAAGACCATGGACTGAAATGACGATGTATGATTTGTGCTGAATAAAAGCATCTATACTTTCTACAGACCCCAGAGTGCACTTGTCTTCATTCCTGTATTATGGTTGGAGTTGGCACCCGGGGCATTCTAAAGACCAGGGAACTTGAGTGCTGGGATTGTGAGTGTGTGTGTGTGTATGTGTGTGCATATATGTGTGTGCATATAAGAAAACCAAGATGCTTGCACTCCTGGATTAGAGAGTAATTGCCCGGTGCTGGTCAGGCACAAGATACAAAAAAATGATTGGAAATGACCGCACTCCAAGGAGTATCATATAAAAATATCAACTTTTCAGCCCCAATACATGGGCTTTCATCAGGATGGCAATACCATATTTTATTTTAACTATCAACAAGTCCTTGGAGTGCGGTCATTTTCAATCATATTTTTTTATATATATATATTTGTGTTCGGGGTATTCTCATATGATATAGAATAAGATGGGTTGTAGAGATGTAGCTTTAGGAATAATCGGTTGAGGTGTGCCGAAACCGACGTATGCTGTAGGACGGTAAAAAGTGGGCTTACATAGAGGAAATATCAACAATGGGAGTGGAGGGTGGGGCTATTCGTCTGACCCACAAAGGTAAGTAGGGAAAGGGGGGAGTCCCTTTTATAGGTCTATAGCCCCTCCCACAACTTCAGGCCATGCCTTCTAATTTGTGTTCGGGGCATTCTCATATGATATAGAATAAGATGGGTTGTAGAGATGTAGCTTTAGGAATAATTGGTTGAGGTGTGCCGAAACCGACGTATGCTGTAGGCCGGTAAAAAGTGGTCAAAAAGAGACATATTATTGCAAAAAATTATACAGGATCGTAGTGCATTTGTTAACCATCAGGTAGACATTTTAATGAAAGCTTCCTAATTCCTGAATCGGCTGTGGTATGTAAGTCGCATAAGCCTATGATTCCCAGCGGCCCCGTGTCTTAACGTGTGCTGGGATGTCTTGGCTATAGGCCGTGGAGGCTGCTCCTATACTAAAGGAGTGCCCTGAGTAGTCGCTAGGTTTTAGTTCGAGCCCGGTGAATGAGTAGGTGGACATAGTGCATGAACTTACCTGTGGTAAGGACAGTATCGTACAGCGATACTTTGGTGCGTATGGTGGCGTGCCCAAGAATGTAACCAGTACCTTAACCGGGCACCCAGCATTGCTTGTAAGGTAGTAGGTTATATGCACTGGTTTGCCCATCTGACTCGTCTTAGTTTTAGGAAGGGACCGGACATAGTGGTCTGTGTGTTTTAGAAGATAAGAGGTCAACAGGCACTCTTGTTTATGATGTTGGCCGCTGATAGTGAGTTATTTTTTTTGGCCTGAGAAAGCCTTTAAAGGCTAGATAGGTAGCAGTTTTGATAACTGCATTGGTGCATGGCTCGGAAGGTGCATGGTCGAGTGGTTCTGACATGGTTTGAACATTGTATGTATGTATGTATGTATGTATATATATTTTAATACAATGTTAAACAAAAAATATGCACACCAGTCAAGCCATAAGACTTGATTTTCCCACAGAAATCACAAATTTGCAGTGATGTTACTACCGCAAAGGACTCTGGGTGGGCATATGCAAATTAGTTTAACAATAAAACAGTCGATGAGTGGTTCACTGGCTTTGCATCTTTTCTTAAATTGTGTTTCAGAGCCGTTTGCATGCAGCAAACACAGACTCAAAGGAATCCTAGGTCCCCCCCCCCATTATTTAAATTTAGGGCCCCCACCCACCGCTCAGGGGTGGGGGCCAGGGGGGAGGACGTTAGGTCCCCCCCTTATTCCAATTTAGGGCCCTCACCCGCCGCTCAGGGGTGGGGGCCAGTGGGGAGGACATTAGGTTCCCCCCCATTATTTTACCGTTCGGGGGGGCAATAGGTCCCCCTTCAGGTTAGAAGCCCCCACTCGCGCAGCACGAGTGGGGGCTCGGGAGGGGGGGGGACCATATGCTGCTCACTGTTTAATAGACATGTCCCTACTCGCAGTATAGCGAGTAGGGGCATAATTTACTAATACTAAGTAATCTTTACTTAGTATTAGTAAATTTGTCTGAAAGACCAATTTAGGTCTTTCAGCCTTTTGGTAGATAGCTCCCTAATACCATGGGAATTAGGGAGTTATCTACTTATTCATTCCTGTCATTACACTGACTGGCTAAGTAACTTACAATTTATATGAATGTATGTTACTTGATTGTTGTAAATGCTTACAGCTGAATCCTGGCTATGTTTGTATACTTTTTATTTAAAATTGTATACAGTGTAACATTCTTCATTCTTCCACTGGGTAAGTATATTAGTTCTTAGGCAATACTGTGCTTCGGCAATTCGACACTTCGGAAATTCGGTAATTTCGGATATTCGGGACTTCAACCATTCGGCAATTCATCTATTTGGACACTTGAAAATACCCAAATTGCACATGTCTAATCACTGCAAATGTGTGATTTCTGTGGGAAAAACAAGTCTTATGGCTTGCCTGGTGTGCAGATTGTTTAACATTGTATTAACTATTCACAGGCTTCAGGTGGAAGGGGTTTTCAATAACAATTTTTTTCCCCACCATAACTTTTTCAGTTTTTGCTTTATATATATATATATATATATATATATTTTATCCAAAATAGAGTGCACTCTGAGGACTTGCAAAAATCTATATATTTATATATAGTATGCAAAGTTATCGAAGTGTAATGAGTGAATAAATGTCGCTAATTAATTCTTAAAAATGTAATACTAAATCTACAAAAATAGCTGCAACCCAATAAGTGCTTAGATTTGAAAATAAAATGGACCAGACTCCCATCAATCTCAGCGTGATCATTTCTGTGGACCCCAGGGGAAACCACCCTCATGTACCAATACATCATGGAAGCAGTCAGGTGGCTAAAAACATGTAACTTGTGGTGTGTGTGTGTGTGTGTGTGTGTGATCTATGTATATATGACATGGTATCTGCTTGTGTGTGTGTGTGTGTGTGTGTGTGTGTGTGTAATGTATTTATTATATGTGTTAGTTGTGTACGAGTCAGTGTGTATCTGTGTGTTTCAGTGTATGTGCACTCAGCAATCAAATGACATCTGTACATTCAAACACTAAACACAAGTACACCACTGCTTTCACATAGCAACAGTACTTACAAACATAAAACTGCATTTAAATGCTAACACTATGTACATACATTCAAACACACAAAACATGCTTACATTTGTCACCGGTTATTTTTTTTCCTATTGCGCAGAAATGTTTATTCATAAAAATTTGAATACTCTTTATTGACCAATACTATAGTCTTAACTTGCATTGAGCTGGACATGGGGTGGGAAGGGGTCGCAAAACATTTTTCTAAATCACTTTACTGAAACTCTGGTTACGCCACTGAATATGATGTTTTAAAACCACGTATTGCAATCTTAACATTAAATATGTTGCCTTTTGGAAAGATATACTTTGGTGGTAGCCTCTTATTTATGTTGTTTTTTTTTTTCAGTTTATGTCTTGTTACTCTGTCACTGCTCACCTTTTTATTTCCTTCAACGTGTTCCTGTCATCTTATAATTGCTGTAAAAAGCTTTTACCAATACTCTTGACAGTTTACAAAGTTGATTTGTAATTGAGATGCATTGTAGTCATTTTCATTTGAATATCCAGAAGGTCAAATAAAGTGGATGAGCACTTGTTCCAGTCTTTGCACAAATCCTCCCATCCCAATATACTACAGATGGCTACATTTTAGTTTATCTCCCCCTGAAGCAGTGACTCATGCTGTTCACCCTCCAATGTCTGGCCATTTGCCTCCTACAACTCCCTTTTGTTTAATGACTTTTAAACAACTGAAAATCTGTTTGTGATATTTCTATTAAAGTGGCTAGTAAGTTAAGTAGAAATTCTCATTAAATTATAGTCCGGTACGTGTTCTTTTCTGCATATTAACTTTTTTTTCTTTGTTTTGTAGGACGATAAAAACATTTTGTTATTAAATATTGTTTGTTTTTATTTATTTTTAGTTTTTTTGTCCTCAAACCTTTTGAATACACATTTAGCTTCCCTTTCTCTAAGGTCACACAATCTGAACTGCTGAAGGTTTATACCCCTAGTCTAGAGAGGGGGAAAAAGTGTGTCAACCCAGTGTTCTGTATTTGCAAATGAATATTATTGAATTCATTAAAAAAATGCCCTTAAATAAATTACATCTGTGAATAATGTCCTCATCTGTTTTTTTTTGTTTTTTGTTTTTTAAATTATGGCAGCTACAGTTGTGTTGACCTTTAAAGTATGTGCAAAGATTCACCAGTGGGAAATATACACAAATTTATGCCAAACTCCAAAAGGTCTACAGTGTGTATGAACGTGGCAAATTGTATCTGTATTGTAAAACAAATGCCGTTTCCTGGCCTTTTTTTATCTCATTGTATTTAAAGGACACTACAGTCGCCACAACCACTACAGCTTAATGTAGTGGTTCTGGTGTCTACAGAATGCCCCTGCAGGCTTTCTAATGTAAACATTGCCTTTTCAGAGAGCAATGGAAACACTCCTGTTTAAACTTACAAGTGTTTCATTGTATGCCCAACATATACAGTAAAGGGGGAAAAGAAAGTACACCCTCTTTGAATGTGGTTTTACATATCAGGACATAATAAGTAATCTGTTCCTTTTAGCAGGCCTTTAAATTGGGTAAATACACCTTAGATGAGGAACAACACATGTCAAATTAAACAGTGTTATGGTTTATTTATCAAAAATAAATCCAAAATGGAGAAGCCATGTGTAAAAAAAAAAAAAACAAACAAAAAAACGAAGTACACCATATGATTCGGTAGCTTGTAGATCCACCTTTAGCAGCAATATCTATCATTTTCCGGATGACTTTATCAATCGATCACATTGTTGTGGAGGAATTTTGCCCCACTTTTCTTTACAACTTTGTTTCAGTTCATTGAGGTTTGCTGACTTTTGTTAATGCACAGCTCTCTTAAAGTCCTGCCAGAGCATTTCAATTGGTTTGAGGTCTGGACTTTGACTGGGACATTGCAACACCTTGATTTTTTTTTAGCCATTCTGTTGTAGATTTGCTGGTGTGCTTGGGATCATTGTCTTGTTGCAATTTCATCCAAGCTTTATGATGGCCTCACATTTGACTATAGAATACTTTGGTAGATAGAGGAGTTCATGGTCGGCTGAATGACTGCAAGGTTCCCAGTCCCAGTGCGTGGCTGCAAACCAAGCCCAAATCATCACCCCTCCACCACTGTGTGTGACAGTTGGTATGAGGTGTTTATGCTGAGATGCTGTGTTTGGTTTTTGCCACACGTTACACTGTGCATTATGGCCAAGCATCTCCACTTTGGTCTCATATGTCCAAAGGACATTGTTCCAGGCGTTTTGTGGTTTCTTCAGATGCAGCTTTGCAAACCTAAGCCACACTGCCATGTTATTTTTAAAGAGAAGAGGCTCTCTCCTGTCAACACTAATAAACAAACCAAACTCATTCAGTCTTTTTCTAATTCCACCCTCATGAACTTTACTAGTTAGTATGCTAACTGTGGCCTGTAGATTCTGAGATGTAACTCTTGGATTTTTTTTGCAATTTGTCTGAGCATTGCACAGTCTGACTTTGGGGTGACGTCCACTCCTTCGAAGATTGACAAGCGTCTTAAATGTTTTCCACTTTTTGAATAATCTTTCTCACTGTAGAATGATGGACTTCAAATTGTTTGAAAAATCTCCATCTAACCCTTCCCAGTTTGGTGGGCAGCTACAATTGTTTCTCTAAAATCATTGCTGGTGTTTTTCCTCCTCAGCATTGTGTTAGCACACACCTGAATGCTCCAGAACAGCAAAATGCTAAAACATCAGCTTTTATAGAGGTGGTCACACTTGCTGATCAATTAATCAAGGGCATTTGATTAGTAGCACCTGTCTGCTACTTGGCTTTTTAATTCCTATGGAAGCCGTAATGGTGTACTTAGTTTTTCACACATGGCTTCTCCATTTTGACTTTATTTTTGTTAAATCATGACACAGTGTAATATGTCATGTATTGTTCATCGGACAAAGAGGGTGTAGTTTCTTTTTCACGTGTGTGTGTGTGTGTGTGTGTGTGTGTATATATATATATATATATATATATATATATATATATATATATATATATATATATATATATATATATCTATGTGTAAAAAACAGATAAAATTCTTATCTTGTAATACCTTTTTAGTCCAATAAAAAAGGTATTACAAGATAAGAATTTTATCTGTTTTTTACATCTACATCACTGGACTAATACGGCTACAATCTCTACTTGAACACTATATATATATATATATATATATATATATATATATATATATATATATATATATATATATATATATATTATAACCAAGAGGGCTGCACTCACCTGAACATGCTTACATTATAGGGTGCTGCTGGGGCCAAAATATACAAAATACATAATCCAACCACTGGCGTATTCAGGGGGGGTGGGAACGGGGCAATTCCCCCTCCCCCGGAGGCTCTCCCCTGCCGGCTAATGCAGGGCTGGCATTGTCCAAGTGCCAGCCCTGCAATGTACCTGCGGACCGGGGAGGGAGATCAGAAATCTCCCTCCCCGGTCCGCAGGCACCGTGCTGACAGGGGAGGGAGTGAGAGAGGACCCGGGAGCTCTCTTACCTGCAGCTCCTCTGGGTCCTACTCTCGCGAGCATGGAGCGTTGCCGCGGCAATGCTCCAAATCTCGCAAGAGTGACCTCTAGCCCTGGAGCAAAGGACTAGAGTTCACTTCACCACCACTGGGACCACTGGGGAATCCCCACCCGCCCACCGGACCACCAGGGATGGAGAAATGTCCCCCTTCCTCCTCAATAAAGGTAAGAAGGGGGGGGGCATAATTATATTAATTTTATTAAATAAAAATTTTAAAAATATATATTAAAAAGCCTCCCTACCCTCCTTCCCCCCCCATACACACACTGCACACCCATAGACACATTGCCCCCCATACACACACTCCCCCCCATACACACATTGCCCCTCATACATACAGTGCCCCCATACACACACACACTGCCCCCCATACACACACAATGCCCCATACATACAGTGCCCCCCATACACACACTGCCCCAAACACACATATACTGCAACTCTCACACACACTGCCCCCTCACATACACACTGCACTGCTCACACACGTTGCCCCTAACACACACACTGCAACCCTGACATACACTGCCGCCCTCACGCACACACTTCACTGCTCACACACACACTGCACCTTTAATACACACTTCACCCCTAACACATACCACTGCTCCTATGCCCTATATCCCAGCAGACCCCAGGTAAGTTGTCAAACTGTTCTTAAACGGTTTGACTACTTACTCTGGGATGGGATCCTGGCACTACTGGCACCATAACTACTACACTGAGCTGTAGTGGTTATCGTGTCTGAATTATTTCTTTAAATAATCTACAAGTGCCCCTCCCGAGATCAGGCTCTGGATCCGCCACTGAATCCAACGCACTCGCTTATTCACTAAACAATGTTTTCAAATCTAAGAGATTGTAATAGTTTTATTTAAAAACACCTCACCTAGGCAAAAAATAATGAGGGTTTGTTACATTATATAATCATACATTGCATAAGCCTGCCACCTACGTCAAAGTACCCCATATTCGGCAGGTCCTATCCTTCATTAGCAGCCTAATGCTTGCTCTTATGAGATTAATCCACTTATGGGAAATGCTTCCTTTCTGGGACTCTCTGCAAGTCAAGGCTAAATAGGGTCCTGGAATGAGGCACCTGTGACAGGGAGGGGTGCAAAACCAAGGAGTTGGCCTGGACTCCCAAATATACAAACAAAACCAAGCGGGCTGCACCCACCTGGACATGCATACATTATAGGGTGCTGCTAAGTGGATTAATCTCATAAGAGCAAGCATTAGGCTGCTACAATAGGACCTGCCAAGAATGGGGTACATTGATGTTGTGGCAGGCTTATGCAATATATGATCATATAATGTAACTAAACCCCCATTATTTTTTGCCTATGTGATGTGTTTTTAAATAAAACTATTACAATCTCTAAGATTTGAAAACATTGTTTAGTGAATAAGCGAGTGCGCTGGATTATGCATTTTGTGTGTGTATATATATATTCATAATAAATAGGCATACATGCAGTTTTTCAATAGTAACAAAATATGCAATAGTTTTTTTTCTGTAAAGTACCATAATACAATACTACATTTATTTGGTAATCCTAATCCTACAGCATACATTTTTCATAAGGCAAACATCAGGTGGGGAAAAAAAATTAACATGTGAGAGAAATAATGAATAATATATATTTCCACTGTGCCGTTGCTGATACGCACAATTCTGCAAGTGTTTTGGAAATGATGAAAAATTATTCCGTTCACCTGGTTACAATTTTTCTGTTGCCAACAAACAAAAATGTTACAGGGTTTAAAATTTTGTTTAACCACTTCATGATACATGACGTATGAGCACATCTTCCAATTTTGGTGCCAGCAAAGGCTAGATCCTTGCTGGCACTGGGTATAAACGGGTATCACTTGATACCCAGGGCTCCCCTCTGTCAGCCGAGGTCAGAAATTAGTAGCTTTAAACTGATGAATTAGATATGTGCAGCACTCAGAACCTCAAATTCCATGTTAATTCAGCCATTGACCATAACCTCCCTGGAATGGAAGGACACGCTCACACACTGATATATCTTCCTGTATCTATTACATCATGTTTTTATATACAAGAATCCCAAAATATAAACCAGTTGTTTACTGCTATTAAACACTATATGGAACACTATATTGTTAGAAATACAAAGCTGTATACCTAACACTATGGTTTCCCACTGCAACGCCCTCCCCTCCCGTTAATATGATGGTTAAAAATCCATTAAAACACTCGCCTTATTCCAGTACCGAATTTCCTCATTCGTCTTTGCCTCTTCAGAGAGTAGCGCACAGGAGAAACCTAATGTGCATGTGCGCGAAGCGCCCCACAAGCATTAGCCTTTCCCCATAGGAAAGTATTGACCATTCTCTTAATTCTTTCCTATGAGGGTTTAAGTCGCTGGACAGCCTCATGCACAGCATCATGAACAGCATGAGGACATCCAGTGTCTTTTCACAGAGTTAAACTCTGTGACACTGCAGGAGGCGCCTTTAGTGACTGTCGACTGCCCGGAGGGTGTAACCAGGTTAATAAACGGTTATAAACGTGTAAATTTCTAGTGAAAACTGCACTTTTTTTCAAAATTAATAGTACACATTCTTTACACATAAAGCTTATTGGTATGCTAAAGTGCTCTAGAGATCTGGAGTGACCCTTTAATTGCAATTTTTACATTGCTGTGTTTAGGATACAGGGACAGTGCACCCAGACTACTTCAATGAGATGAAGTAATCTGGGTGCCTATAATGTCCATTTAACACCTTAAGGACGAAACTTCTGGGAATAAAAGGGAATCATGTCATGTGTCCTTAAGGGGTTAAACATCTTCATTAGACTGGTCCCACTGAGTAAATTCTTCTGCAATTTTACTGTGAACTAGCTTTTGTAGGCAGTTACATAGCATTTGAGTAATACTCAATAAAGTTCACATTACCACAACTTCGTATCCTTGTAATGCATTAACATCAATGGATAATCAGAAACGTCTACCTGCTTATATCAATAAAAATTTTATAGAAAGCAATATCAGAGTGTGTTTGATAAAATACCAATTACAAATCCCTAACAGATGCTAAAATAGACAAAGAAAACACTGTTCCTATACTGCCAGAAACTGGTATTAATGAAGACGTTACATCCTTAGCATCTATTAGAAATACATCAATGGGATTTCTAAAAATAATTCTCTACTTGGTTCCAAGTGGAATAATGCAAAAGGATAAGACTTGTATCATTAGCTTAGATTAAATCTAATCCCAATTTCAAGCAATACTCATTATTTTCTGTGTATTAGATTATCCGCTCCTAAAATCAATGATCCATACTTCTAAAGTTTATTTACAAAAAGGACTCCATCCTTTCAATAATGTAATATTCGGCTTCTCTGACATTAAACTTTACATCACCACATTTCTTGTTATCTCTCGTTAATGTAAAACAATAATTGTTTCCCATGATGATCATAGCACACCTTCGGATACCTCTACAAACATAATGTATTAATTCTATTATCCGTTATTTTACTATTACTTCTAATGCTATTGGGTTTTACTAACTATAAACCTTTTTATTCCTGGTCTACATATTACAGACTCCGAAATAACAAAACCATACAAGAAGTTACATTGGGTAACATCATATCCAGAAATCTCTAATCCTTAGTCTGTGCCATTAGAGAATCAGGGGTAACACAAATGGTATACTATATAATACCCAATCTCTTCTTCTTAGTTGTATCAATATATAAGCAAAGTGTTTCAGTGTAAAATTATCCTTTTTGTATTCTCATTTTGTCTTCTGACATTCACAGTTAAAATGCCATGCAGAACTAAGAAAATAACAACATTTCTTAATTTCTCAATCTTTTTTTTTTTTAGATATTATTCATATTAAATTGCTTAAAGGACCACTCTAGGCACCCAGACCACTTCAGCTTAATGAAGTGGTCTGGGTGCCAGGTCCAGCTAGGGTAGAGAAACTGTTATGTTTATGAATGGGTTAAGCCTTCCCCCAAATCCTCTTGCGGCTGTCTCATTGACGGCCGCTAGAGGCGCTTGCGTGATTCTCACTGTGAAAATCACAGTGAGAACACGCAAGTGTCCATAGGCAAACATTGATAATGCTTTCCTATGCGACCGGCCGAATGCGCGCGCAGCTCTTGCCGCGTGTGCGCATTCAGCCGACGGGGAGGAACGCAGGAGGATCGGAGGCAGAGAGCTCCCCGCCCAGCGCTGGAAAAAGGTAAGTTTTTACCCCTTTCCCCCTTCCAGAGCCGGGCGGGAGGGGGACCCTGAGGGTGGTGGCACCCTCAGGGCACTATAGTGCCAGGAAAACGAGTATGTTTTCCTGGCACTATAGAGATCCCTTAATATTTATGAAATATGAAAGAAGTAAATTAAGGTTGAACAGACACATAGCGCAAATTCCAGGTTTTGTTTAGAAATGTACAATTGCCTCCATTCTTAAGGGGTTAAAAACAAACATAATCACTATATGGTACTATAAGCAGTATCACTATAATTGCTTAAAACTCAGGATTTGTCATATATTGATTTGTAATACTCCTAAACTAATTTTGTTCTTGGTACATAAGTCATTTAATAATCTTTTGCACTTGTACCTTGCAATATAGTAAAGCTTCATAATTTTGCTTTGCAATAATCATTTCTATGACATTTTATTTTATTTTTTTTCAACTTCATGTCACATTTTTCAGTTTCAAATGAACTATGTATAGCAAATGTCTATATAATTATTATTATTATTATTGCCATTTATATAACGCCAACAGATTCTGTAGCGTTTTACAATATTATAAGAGGGGGGATTTAGGACAATTACAAGAAAACTTACAGGAACGATTGGCTGAAATGTATGTGTGTGTATGTATGTATATATAATATAATAAAAAAAAAAAATATATATATATATATATATATATATTATATACAATTCCAAAACAGAAATGGCTGCTCTCCGGTCTTTAAAAATAAGAAATGTATTGAATAAAGTTTAAAATAATGACCAACGTTTCAGTCCCCGTTCGCGACTTTCTTCAGGGTCCAAAAATAACCTGATATAATATACACACACACACATGCATACATACACACTACAGCTCCTTGATAAGCATACAATGCAACCACAATACACATACACTCTCAATACAGCCCCTAAATGTACACACACACACATTACAGGCCATTTCAGCACACACACAATCTCAAAAGCTCCTATACATGAGCACGTGTTCACACTACAGCCCCTTGTTACACATAGTACACCATAAACAGACTCCTCTATACACACACTTCACAACAGTCCCTTCTAAACACCATGAAAAATTATATTGCATCTCCTGAAAAGGTTTTCTAGTTTCCGTAAAAAAGGTGTCTTGCCTGTAATAAGGAAGGCGTAGCGGTGGAACTACAGGGAGTGCTGGTGCTGCAGTTACACCGGGGCCCATTGAGTAGCCTTAAGGGGCCCAAAACCATTTTTGCACCAGGATCCACTCTACATTAGTTCTGCCACGTTGCAGCAGATTCCCCGTACACAAGTTCTGCCCCCAATCTCTGACTGAGACACACACTGACACACACGTTCTGACAGACATACAGTAACAGACACACACTCTCTGACTGAGACACACACTAACTGAGACACACACACATACAGACAAATTTTTCTGCACACACTCACAAATTGCTATTTTTATTTTAATTTAAATCCATCCAGTCTCGCTACCTTTTGGGAGTGCTGAGTGGAACTTTCCCTTGCGTCCAGTGTCTCCTCTCAATTTTCCTGCAGTTTCTCTCTGCTCCCCTGCTCACTCTCTGTATTGATCACTAAACAGCGCGCAAGGGAACAGAGAGGTACTGCAGGATGGTTACTGCTCCCTCGCGTGCTGCCTTCATGCTCCCCGCGGTGGCCGGCTTTAATATTTACTGCTTAGCAAAGGGCTGACAAATGCCATGGCGACCTGGTGACTGGAATTTGTCGAGCTTTGTGTGTGTGTGTGTGTGTGTGTGTGTATATAGCTTTGTGTATATGTGACACTTTTTTGTTAGTGGGACCTCATGTTTGAGTTTCGCCTAAAGCCCCATAAAGTCTAGAGCCACCTCTCATATTTGTAGTATAAGTGCCACAGTGCTCTTTCAGCTAAATCAACATAAATCTCCACGAAGAAAAGCCCACGCTGGGCTTTTTGAAGAAAATTATTTGTCTTTATTCAAAACTCACGGGTTACAGCAAATTAACATTTTAGTCCATCATAGGACTTTCATCAGGATCCTATGATGGACTGAAACGTCGATTTGCTGTAACCCATGAGTTTTGAATAAAGACAAATCATTTTCTTCGTGGAGATTTATGTTGATTTAGCTGAAAGAGCACTGTGGCACTTATACTACAAATATGAGAGGCGGCTCTAGACTTTATGGGGCTTTAGGCGAAACTCAAACATGAGGTCCCACCAACAAAAAAGTGTCACATATACACATTGATGCACAGTTTACCCTTGTATGTGCCTGAGAGTGTGTCTGACAGAGAGTAACCTTTTGTGTGTGTGAGTGTATGTCTCTGTGAGCATGTTTGCGTTTTTGTCTGAGACCCTATGTGTATGGGGTAGCTGCTTGAAGTGTGTTGTGTGTATGGGGGGGTGATGGTTTGAGGCGGGTGATGGCGAGGGGAGGGGGGTTGATGGCGAGGGGGTTGATGGCTGAGGGGGTTGATGGCGAGGGAGGGGCTGATGGCGAGGGTGATGGAAAGGGAGGGAGGTTGGTGAAGGGGTGATGCTGGGGGGGTGAGGGTAGTGATGCTGAGGGGGGTAAGGGGATGATGGTGGTAGGGGTGGTGCTGAGGGGGTGGGGGCTGTGGGGGTTGGGGGTGGGGGGTTGAGGTTGAGGGGTGTGGGGGTTGAGGTTGAGGGGGGGGGTTGAGAGGGTGTGGGGGTTGAGGTTGAGGGTGTGGGGGCTGAGGTTGAGGGTGTGGGGGCTGAGGCTGAGGGTGGTGTGGGGGATGATGCTGAGGGTGGGTGAGGATGGTGGGGGTGGGTGGGTGATGCTGAGGGGGGAGATGGGAGAGAGAGGGAGGTCTGATGGCCTACCTTGATTTATTCCCTGGTGGTCCAGTGTGGGCTCCCTGGTGGTCCAGTGTGGGCTCCCTGGTAGTCCGTTGGCCATCATTTTCGTTGAGCTGCAGACATTGTAATCTCACGAGACCATCAGAGCGTTGACGTGGTAACCCGCGGCAACGCTCTGATTGGTTAGTTTTCTGAGACACATGGTCTGCACCTCTGCTCACTCTGGAGCTGCAGACCAGTGTTTGCAGTGGCTGGCCGGGCAGCCAGGAGGGGCCTCGCACCTGGTGGCATACTGGGGAAGCCGCTGGGCCCCCTTCTGGTGTCGGGTCCCAGTCTGCCCACAGGCGGCTTAGGCGGCCGCGAGGACCCAGCCAGCGCGAGGCCTTAGGCGGCCGCCTAATTAGAGAGCCGCCTCTGTGTGTGTGTGTGTGTGTATATGTATGTATGTATGTATGTATATGTGTGTGTATATATATATATATATATATATATATATATATATATATATATACACACACATATACATACAATCTCAAGTAGAAAGGGAGGTTCTCATGAAAGCTTGTCATTAACAAATTCTGTTATTCCAATAAAAAAAGGTATTACAAGATACAAATTGTATCTGTTTTTATTTATACACACACACATATTTAATAAACCCCCCCCCCCATACTTATGTGCCCCCCTAAGTATGAATCCTGGAGACGCCACTGCCTACACTAACAATTCACCTTGCTGTTTTCAGCTATTGGGTAAAATATCAAATGGCCATTGGAGTGATACTAAAAAAGGTATTTTGGATAGTGTGCAAGTAAAAGTTTCTTTGGTTTTTACTGTATGTATTAGGGCTAATGTGTACTTTAGTCCTTGTTTCTGTCCAGGAGTAGTGGGAGTGGGACTAGTGAGAGTTTGAGCACAGGGCTTAATTTTGTATTTCTGACCTTGTTTTTCCTTAGTAGCACATATTCATTTTTTTGCCAGTTCACCTGTTTGCTAATTGATCCCACAGACAATTTACTGTCATCTGCAAAATATTTTACAGTTTTCATTTTACACTCACCCGATCAGAAGTTATTTCTGTCTATCTCATTGCTTCACCCACACACCTGCGCATTTCTGGATTTGGATCTGGAAACTTGCCATTCCTTCCGCGTGCTGGCTTGAAGAACTCGCGTTGCTTTAGATCTTTATCTTCTCTTGAGAACAGAAGACCGTTCTTTGTTCTGTGCAAGAATTCCGACAATTTCTGTTGACACTTTTTTTTTTTCAATTTTCAATTCACACTTCAATTCAGTTCAGACCACTGAATCTCACTCTTCATGCCCCCCTTGTGAATATAATAGCATGACATGTATTCTATCCAAACTGTACAAAAATTGTGTTTACTTCATGTTTTCATATCTTGATAAATTGGATCACAATAAATTGTGGCAGGTGCACATAAAAATGATGTAAGTTTACTACGATTTTAAAACACATGATAAATTGGCATTTCCTTTACAACAACGCCGGGTAAACACAGGATGCTTATTGGTCAGGGTAACTGGCTAAAATAAGGGAGAGCATAAAAACAGGGTTCAAAAGAGTACTGAGAATGGGCGACCGCTCGAATAGCCTGCCCTTCGGTGGGTCCCTGCTCAGATCTCAAGCTTGTTTTAGCTCATCTTGTGCCATTACAAAAAGAACCCGGGCCATTTGCAAATGAGACTGAATCCACCCAAAAGGGAGGTCCAGAACCAAAATGCAGGCCGTCTCTCTCTACACAAGAGATACAGCAACCACAGATGATCGTTTCAGCCTTGTTAGGCATCGTCAGTGAGTTAATTGGCTAAAATAGGTGTTCGAGTTGGTCAACTTTGTCACTTTAACTGTAGATAAGATTTGATGGAGCATAGGATGCATACACACAATGCACATTTGCGGTTTTGTTCCTTATACTAAGGGACAGTAGAAAGGAAGAGGATATCTTTATATATGCTATCTTTATAAAACGGTTTTGTGGACATGCTACCCTAATGTTACTGAATAAAATTGAATTTTGCAAAGTTGTCATTAATCAATGTACTTCTTTTCTTTCTTTCCTTCTTTCCAGTGGGAAAAAAAAATCGATTTTTTTTTTTTTTTGCCTTGTTGCGGGATCGTAAAGCACAGAGGGTTATACACCACCTAACCATGGCTGCCTTTGGAGAGATGTACAGACTATTAGCAGTGTTTGTTGTCCTGTGTTTTACCTTGCCAGGAGTTGATGCTTTGGACGAAGGAGACGTGATTGCTGTTCTACTTGGAGTGGTCATAACTGTACTTGGCTTTTGTGCATGTTTGGGGTACTATGCAAGAAAACGAGAAGGGCAACTATAATCATTTTTTGCTAGATTTTGTTTCGTTTTTGTTACTGATGCTTGCAATCCAATGTTCTAATTTTTTGTTATTTTATTTTATTTTTTCACAATGTTTTTGCATTGACAGTGACTGCAAATGGAATGGCATCGCATATTATGTTTCCAACTTTATATTAAAATTTCTGTGAGCAGCAATCCAGTTTAAGAATGTTTTTGTTTTCCCATTACGGTAACACTGCCACTAAATCTCCTTTTTAATAAATTGCAATGCGCTGGACTAAACCCACGCAAGAAAAACAGGATAAGGAATTTAAAGAAGGTTTAAATTCAAAGCTAGTTTTGATGGGATCAAAGGCTCTCGGCAGTGATAATGCTTTTAACAATTGACTATTCACTATACTGTTTGGTGAGATGTTACTTGTTTTATAAGGCCATCTGTTTTACTATAATTTCAGCATTTACCTTTTGTTTAGAGTATGTTTTGTTTCCTTGCTCTTTGTGATGGGTATTTAAAATAAAATATGGTTTTGAGCTGCTCCCAATGAACTGTTCTGTTATTTCAACACTTTTTTTTTATAAAAACATAAGATAATGTGTTATGTACTGATTGTTGGCACTCTTCAATTCAGTTGTGAGTCATTTCAAATTATAGCAGTAACTTCAAATTGTTACTGGGTTCGACTCCATCAGATTACCCACATTTACCATTATAGCTCTTCTGTCCTAATATTTACCTTTCCCTCATAAACCCCTGATTCTAGTATAGAGCCTCATGTAACTCACTACCCCATTGTAAAAAGAAAAAAAGTAAATTTATAATTAAGGTGTGTGTTTTTGTTTTGAATGTGGTTACTATAATGAAGGTGTTTTTTTTTTAATTTTTTTTATTTTAACAGAATCGCTGTGAATTAAATTTTCAGCTTTTCATCTATCTGACTACACAGTATAATAATATTCAATACGAAGTAATTAGCTGTGCCCAACACAGATTATTTTTTTTAACACTGCTGAACTCTTGCAGTCCCGCGTACATACCTCCCAACTTTTCTGATGTGCACATTTTAATTTTAGGGGTTTGAGTGGGGGTGTTGCCAGGGGTGGGGCTGCTCTGAAAAATTGTAGGGGAGTAAAATGTATGTTTAGAATGAGAAAAATGTGTTATTTACACAGTTTAACCTATATGTATTGTGGATTAAATGCACGTTATTGTGAGAATTGTTGCTCTTAAGCTCTATTATACACTCAGACACCCCAACAATATGGTCCTCCGAGAAGATTGGGACATTATGACATAAAAGAGAGGCACAGGGAACCCAAAATAGGGACTTTCCTTCCTAAATAGGGGCAATTGGAAGGTATGTCAAAACTGGCAGTGATGAAGCATGAGGATGACTTCACAAGGTAAGGATTGGACTTTGGGGCATGGCAAATTTATGGAGTTTGACCACAAACACATTGACAATAAACTGTAGAGGTAATAATGCTTTGAGTGAGAGTCAATCTCTGGGCATCAGTCATCCAGTCCTCCTTTTTAGAAGCCTGAACACAGAGTTAAGTTAAAAAAGAAAAAAAATTAGTGTGTGTGTGTGTGTCTCTCTAATGTGTTGTAGGAATAAAAACATTTTAGGAGTGATTGGAATATTGAAGTCACTGTGGTATCAAAACACTAATCTTCAAGTTAATGAATAACTTTTAAAATTATATTTAACATTCCTTTCATGACTACCTCATTAAACAATTTTAATTTAGAATCCAGAAAGCCCAACATGTTTGTGTTCCTTGTGGACTGGAATTTGGGACCTCTGCAGTAAAGATGCTCTTTAACTTCAATCAATCAATCAATCAATCTTTTGAATGTGTCATTAGAGGAGCATGGATGAGTCAAAATCATTCAAATAGGATGCCATGTGATTGTGTGACTAAATGGCTGAAACACACCCTGCCAGGAATGTTTGAAAGATTATTCTATACAGTTTAGCTTTAGAATGTTATTGCAGCAATTTAATTTTAAATTGATTCTAAATCGGTTATGGTTACTGCGGTAATCCCTGCTGTGATAATTTGATATACTGAGACATTCACCAATCTGTCTTCTGTCAAAGGATACTACTCAAAAATCCGTTATGGCTCTCTGTTTATATGGAGTTATGATACTGCAGAACGTAGCGTGATACAACTGGCCTTTATAGTACTCTGTAGAATTACTTAATTGCCAGGTCGGACATTCTTAGACTTGTACATTTTGTGAATGCTACTGTTAAATCACTATTGGCTATACCAGTTTTTATATAAACCTAGGCCATTTAAAAGCATTGGAGAATTTCATGAGTTATTTGAAAATTCATGTTCTAGGAATGCTTCCCAAATCTCATCCAAGCACAAGCAAAAAAAATGATCTGCTGTTCTTGCCGTTGACTCTTATAGCACCTTCATAATGCACGTTTTGGTTATATCATCACTTTAATATGTCTTTTCTGGCTATTTGAAGTTTCTGTAAAAACACGTATATGAGACATCTCTGCAGCCAATTTAAAAATTCAGCCTTTTGCCACCTAGGAAACTTGGTATAAGGTAAGATTAGAGATAAAAATTAATCTTAAAGCCAAAGTAAATTAAATGTAAAAAAACCAACCTTAAAATAAAAAAAGACAACCCTTTACTATACTTCTTAAAACTCACAGGGTGTTTCACTAAAGTTAAGTTGAAATTTCTGGGATTTTAAAGTGAAATTTGAAATTAAGGCCAAAATAGCTGAATTGGAAAAGTTCCAGTCAATACTGTTTTTTTTTTTTTTGTTTGTTTTGTTTTTTGTTTTTTTTTATGTTTTTGTTTTTTTGCATTTTGCTTTTTTAACCCTTAAATTTAAATTCACTTTGAATTCCCGGTAATTTTCATTTTAGTAATACAACATGCAAAAAAAAGAAGCACAACTATACTTTTATTGCACCATTTTAGTTTGTTTTATTCTAAAGCTTGGACTCCAAAAAAAAACACAACTGCTTTTTTTTTCTATGCAATAAATGTTTTCTTTGGCAAAGACACTGCATATATATATATATATATATATATATATTTTTTTTTTTTTTAATTCTTTTTTCATTTCTGTAATACTGCCATAAACACATCTCTAATAAAATGCAACGATCTGAGCTAAACTCACGCACAATGAGAAGGTTCAAAGGCTTTGAGTAGTGATGATGTATTTATCCAATTCTCTCTTTACCATGTTGTTGTGAGATGTTACTTTCTTTGTATTGCAGTCTGTTTTTACTTATAATTTCAGCATTTATCCTTTGTTTAGAGTATGTTTGCTTCCTTGCTCTCTGTAATGGTTAGTTAATATAAAATGTGACTTTTTTTCTTTTAATAATGTATTCTGTTATTTTTACAAATTGCATGCTAAAAAAAAAGTGTTTTTTTTTTGTTTGTTTTTTTTTTCTGTACAGATTATCCACATAATTGAATTCAGTGGTTCTATTATGAGCCATTACATTTCAAGTGCCTCCTTTCTATGTTTACTGGAGTTGACTCTGTCAGATTACCCAGTTTTGAAAATTCTGTTTTGTCAGCTCTGCTCTAAAATGTATAATCCCTTAATAAATCCACAATTTGCGGGACCTGCCTGATAACCCAGACAGGAAGTCCAGAGAATTTTTAATTTGCTAGCACTATATTTAACTTGTAACTATTATACTATTAGGAATTATTTTTGTTGTTTGTTTTTCATAGACTATAAGTTCTCCATGAAGAGGTTGCTTAAACAATCCTGATGCATTCTGCTACATTTGTGGTGAATATGGTCTTCAAAAACAAAGGAAAAATATCACTGACTTTGTAGGATAAGTATATCTTGTTTATTTTGCTGTGAAGCTCGGAGACCAAGATACGTTTTCGACTACCCATAAAGTTTTCAAACCCTGGGTAGAGTGGCAAAGACTGTAAAAACATGGACAAATGAAAAGTTTAAACTTCGTCATGCTTATGCTGTGGATAGAGCTACTAAACCATCACATTGTTTTTGTGTTGTGAGTGTGAAAGGCTGCAATGATTTGGAATCCCCCAAGGCGACCTGTTCTACACTGTGAAGACCTTCCCCTACCAGTGTTTACCTCACTTCCATTGTCAGATGTTGAAGAAATCCAGTGTAATACCAGTTGAAGAAGTGGAAGTAAATATGAAGGAATCTTTTCAACATCTTAGCAGTTCTCAAAATAAAATAAAAGTTCTCAATTATCTGAAAGGAAACTTTGTATGTTTGTTAAAGCAAGCCTTTGAACTTTTAGCATCCAGGCTAAAAGAAAAGAACAATCTGTATATAGCCAGACATTAAAGTAACAGAAACTCACATAAAAGAAAAGTATACAGTGTTTTTGTATGCATTAAGTGTGATTATCTAAATCAGTTTACTTTTTTTTTATATTATTGTACTGAATACAACTCCAATAGGTATTTGTATAATTATTTAGCATTTTTATGGTTTTACAAGGGGATATCCAATATGTCAAAATGGAATTAGAGACAGAGTAACCTTTAAATCATTATCCTGTTATTGGCAATAAAATCATTGTTGTCCTTAATAATGCAAAAGCAAACAGGAAATTAAAATGTTTTGTCTTTTAAGAAGTGTTTTTAACATTCACCCACTAGCTAATAAACCTATTAGTCACCAGCCAGTCAATGCATATTTTACCATGCTAGGCTCATCAGGGGTGAAGCAATTATGAGCCTAAGTGACTCAAAAGGTTTTGGGGGGGGGGGAAGGGGTGGTTGTTTTTTTTTTTTTTTTCTCTTGTGTGCTAATTACATATTTAATTTAGGAGGGGAATGCTTTGATTCTGCAGAAAATTGCAATGTAAAGAATACTTAAACATGTTTTTTTTTTCTTTTTCAAATGCATTTATTATTATAAATCAATTACATTCTTCACCTCTGTTAGAAGACCACCAATCAAGGTGATTACTAAAAAGACTACATGAATGCAACAGGTTTTGTGTGTGAATGCTAGGTGCCCGCTTTTTCATAGTTTGCTCACACTTCTTTTAATCTGTACCATGCACTCTATAGATGGGAACAACCTTTTCTCTCCCTGTTATGCATATATGACTCGTTAACTTCTGTACCTTCATGACCTAATGAAAAATCCTAGCCATGGTTCCCCCCCCACCCCCCCAAACGCTCATTTAAAAAAAAAAGATACATTTTACTACATTGAGGCCAGATTCTCTTTGTTACCCAACCCTCCTTAGTGTCCCTCACTACAGAGGGAGGGAAGGACTTGGTCGATATGGAGTGGGCTGTCCCGTCATTTGCCATCTGTCGCCAGCTTTCTATGGTACTGGTCATTGACATATTTATGCACAGAACTTACATTAGTCAGGGCGGAACTTACTTTCCGGGCTGGCTAATGATGCTCCTAGGGGGTGGAGTTACACCTCCAGAAGAGAAGTTCTCTATCTCGGTTGGTTTTTCTTAGTAAAACATTGTACATATTTTAAAAATAAGCGCTGTACTTAGAAAACCTTAAAATAGGTGATATATATCATGAAATAAAAACACCTTCATATGCACTATTATAATTAGTAAAAAAAAACACTCTTGTAAATAAGCAACCGCATATAAATCACAGTGTGTGTTATTTCAAATAACCGTTAAAATGCTGAAGAGCCCAAAAATCTTTGGGTAACAGTCTCTTAGGGTTAATCTTGTCTCACAGGTAGGGACCAGCCAGGGTCGGCGCTTCCTGTAAGGAGAACTAGGCCCCCATTGCCGGCCCTCCTAATGCTGCAGCTGCCTGAGCACTCTATACAGAGCATCAGGCAGCTGCAGCACTGCCTCTTACCACCCCTTCCCTGTGTAGCATGGCCAAGCTCCTCTCCGGTCCGCGGTTCAGGAACATCCGTTTCCTGTACCAGGCCGGACTGATAGGAAGTGCACACTCAGAGACCACTAAGGGGTATAGGAGAGCTCTAAGGGACAGAAGCGAGAGCTCTATAGTACAGGGGGCAGGGCAGGGCAGGGCAGGGCATTGTGTGTTTCTCTTACACACAGAGAAACACACAATGCATCCATTACACAGACACACACACACAATGCAACCCTTACACATAAAGACAATGCATGCTTTGCATATAGTGATGTTCCCAGCGAACCTCGCTTGTTCGCGTTCGCCACAGATGGCGAACATATGCGCTGTTCGGTCCGCCCCCTATTCGTCATCATTGAGTAAACTGTGTCAGCAGACACATTCCAGCCAATTAGCAGCAGACCCTCCCTCCCAGACTCTCCCACCTCCTGGACAGTATCCATTTTACATTCATTGTGAAGCTGCATAGTGAGAGGAGGGACAGTGTAGCTGCTGCTGATTTGATAGGGAAATTGATAGCTAGGCTAGTGTATTCAGTGTCCACTACAGAATCTGATCTCTGCTGTAAGGACAGCACCCCAAAAAGCCCTTGTTAGGGCTAGAACATCAGTCTGCTTTTTTTTTCTGTGTAATGTAATTGCAGTTGCCTGCCTGCCAGCCTGTGTGTCAGGCTCACAGCATATACTGTGCCCACTTGCCCAGTGCCACCACTCACTCACTGGTGTCATAATAGCTTGCATATAAAAAAAATAAAACTTTTTGGACTGTAATATAATAGCAGTCAGTTTCCTTCACGAGTGTGCGTTTCAGGGCCTGCCCAGTGCCACCACTCACTCACTGGTGTCCCAATAGCTTGCATTTAAAAAAACAAAGCTTTTTGGACTGTAATATAATAGCATTCAGTTTCCGTCACGCGTGTGCGTTTCAGGGCCTGCCAGGGCACAGTGTCACATCAGTGCAACTCATATCTGGTGTAACAGTAGTGTACATTTAAAAAAAAAATACAATTTTGACTGTAATAGATTTAATAGCAGTTAGTTGTCTGCCAGCGTGTGTGTCAGGCTCACAGTGTATACTGTGCCCACTTGCCCAGTGCCACCACTCATATCCGGTGTCACAATAGCTTGCATTTACCAAAAAAAAAAACACCTTTTTGGACTGTAATATAATAGCAGTCAGTTTCCTTCACGTGTGTGCATTTCAGAACCTGCCAGGGCACAGTGTCACACCAGTGCAACTCATATCTGGTGGCACATTAGATTGCACGCGCAGTGCCCCAAATTTGAAGTAGGAGGACCGACCAAGCATCTTTTTCCATCTCCCGGTTCCTAAAATCGATGCCATATACACATCCCCTGATAGGGGACGTAACAGGGATTAAACTGATAAGAATAGTACTACTTAACACACCACTCCTATCTGGTGGCACATTAGATTGCTCGCGCAGTGCCCCAAATTTGAAGAAGGAGGACCGACCAAGCATCTTTTTCCATCTCCCAGTTCCTAAAATCAATGCCATATACACGTCCCCTGATAGGGGACGTAACAGGGATTAAACTGATAGGAATAGTACTACTTAACACACCTTATAATAATGCAGAGAGAGGCAACGCAGAGAGTGGAGTCTGAAGAAGAGGAGTCAGTGGAGGAAGGTGGCTTTGAGGAGGTGGAAGACCAAACACAGCAGGCGTCCCTGGGGGCTTGTTGTCACCTTTTGGGGACCCTTGGTGTTGTACGTGGCTGGGTGGAGGAAGAGACCTTCAATGACATCAGTGAGGACAAGGAACGGGACATGGCTAGCTTGGTATCCAACCTTGTGCAAATGGGGAGTTTGCGGTTGTGCAAATGGACTGTTTACGGTTGTTTGTGGTGCGTTAAACGGGGAGTTTGGTCTGTCACTGTGAAGCGGGCGTAACCCTTACACTACCTGACCGATACAACATCATACCTGATGTTTTAAAGCACGTTAAACAATTTAGGAATGTTAGGTGATTTATGCCCTTTATGGATTAAAACCAGACTCTGCATCAACTGTGTAATTTTCCATGGAAGTTTTGCCATGGATCCCCTCCGGCATGCCACAGTCCAGGTGTTAGTCCCCTTGAAACAACTTTTCCATCACTATTGTGGCCAGAAAGAGTCCCTGTGGGTTTTAAAATCCGCCTGCCTATTGAAGTCTATGGCGGTTCGCCCAGTTCGCTAGTTCGCGAACATTTGAGGAAGCTCGCATTCACCGTTCGCGAACCGAAAATTTTATGTTCGCGACATCACTATTTGCATACATACACAGAAACACACAATGCATGCCTTACACATAACCAGAAACACACACTTCTTTCTATCCCTTACATACTGCTTCCACTACACACAAACACACTGTATCACCTACACAAACTGATATCCCTATACACTACATTCCATAAGCACACACATTAGATCTTACAATAACACACACATTAGATCTATAATAACACATAACACATCCCCTACACACTCCATTCCCTGTGAGCGAACACATGGGTGGAACATGTAGGCGGACTTATGGGTGGGCCTTATGGGCATACTCACTGTCAGGCCCTGGGGCCCAGACCTTGAGCTGTGTAAGGGGCCCCAAAAAAATGAAGCTGCTTCCCGTTCTCCCAGAACATTGAATTTTGTGACCACAGTTATAAACAGCCTGTTCTACACCAGACCACTGGAGCCAAACTGCAGCGAGAGCCCATCACCATCCTCATATGGTTGTTGTGGCGGAACAGACCTCACCACATGTTTTTGGAGGGAGCTGCTTGCCCGTCTCCTACCTTCTGACTATGGCCCTGGGATATATAGCATTTGAAAACACTATTTGTGCCCTGTGACAAAACTGGAGAATGTTCACAAATATGACGATTGTCCATATTTTTTATGATTCCTTTCGTTTGTTGCACTGTTCCCCATGTGTTTCGTCTGTTGGTCCGGCTGGATAGACTACCAGACAAACTGTGGAGTTACTGGGTGGCCAACATTTCATGTATCAGAGGCACATGGTGAGAATAATGGATGGCGGCTATTTTAACTCACAGACACTGTTTGGACTTTTCTACACGGTGCCATCTCGCCGGTATTTGGTGCACGAAGACATTGTGCAGTAGTTTTAAACTATACAACAGGGGACACATTATACAATAATTATTTTTCATATAGCCTCTATATGTTCTGCAGAATCTGCATTAAACTGTATCTTCCAAACTACTGAACGGATCTGGGTGAATTTGTGGATATGTGGTTCACCCAGATCCCCCGGTTACGAGGATATACTTTTTATGGGGTTATTGCATGTTTTTGGGGTCCCTGTGATATGTTTTATAATACTGTATTTCTCTGCCTGTGATAATTATATTAACCATTGTGTTCAGTAATCATATCACAGGCAGAGAGGAGGATTTTGTGTGTGAGTGTCTGTGTGTATTGTACGGATTCATTGGTT